TCTTTCTTATCTTCGCTCAATCATATTAGGGTATCAAGCTTGTAGAGCTTGAGACTTGACAACCATCATGATTGAGTGAAGTAGAATGCGTCTGCCTTTGTCATTACGACTGGGAGCACTACTCAGTGGCAAGACGACTTAGCTCCGAAAGAAATGGCCGCCTCTGACATGAGGAACAGACGCCATGTTCAGCTGCTCCTAACATGGAGTACAAACGCTGCTCATCCTGTATCCCTGGATTAGGAGCCCTTACAGGGTACTATCAGCCGGGCCAGCTGAGCCCAGGTTTTTTAGTGAGCTTGTTACTGCTCCCCCTCCTCCTTTTTAATCCGGGCTTGGGACCGGCAAAGGCGGAGTTACACAGCTTGTTCAATGAAATAAACCTACCTCTTCCAAAAGTACAAGTTTACTCAGTGGTAGACTTACTCGAGGTATATCTCCGCGACACAGTAAAAGCCTTTTTCATAATTTATCTACCTGGTCCAATTACAATTCCACTTTTATACTATTTTTTCACATCTTTCATCTTTACTTAATGTCAAATGTATTTAATTAATATTTATGATATTTGTCTTTTGATATTTACACATAACAATCTTATTAAGGCGATTTACTCATTTTTAAAAGTGACGAATTTATTTTTAAAAGTTAAGAATTTATTTTTAACAGTTACGAATTCCCTCTTAAAATGCTATATATATTAATTTCCTCACGGAAAATTTTCTATCTATAAGTAGTGTATTATTAATTTGTTCTAGAAGTTGACCTGAATCTATCAAATCTCACCAAGTTTGAATGGAAGATTGACCCCGTGTGTGACAGATATCTGAAGGAAGAAAGAGCAGGACTTGGTATCACGGACTGGGACTACACCAGTTACCATTCTCTATCCCAGGTATGTCTATACTTTTGAACTTCTAGAAAGAACAAACTTCGTGATATCTAGAAAAAACAAAGATTTGATATCTGTATTCATATGGATAATGTGAGTGACGCTATGAGTAAGACAGCTATTGGAGAAGCTTGATTGAGGAGGTACATCAATTTTAGGACAGATTCACCTGAAAATAGCCTTTCCTAGGACAACTAATTGATAACTCATCTTGGAGGAGTTTGATTCTTTGAAAGATTCACCAGAAAATAGCCTTTCCTAGGACAGTTATTCTATCACTCGCCTTGAAGGAGCTTGATTGAGGAGGTACATCAATTTTAGGACAGATTCACCTGAAAATAGCCTTTCCTTGGACAGTTATTCTATCACTCGCCTTGAAGGAGCTTGATTGAGAAGGTAAATAAATCTTAGGACAGATTCACCTGAAAATAGCCTTTCCTAGGACAGTTATTCTATCACTCGCCTTGAAGGAGCTTGATTGAGGAGGTACATAAATCTTAGGACAGATTCACCTGAAAATAGCCTTTCCTAGGACAGTTATTCTATCACTCGCCTTGAAGGAGCTTGATTGAGAAGGTACATAAATCTTAAGGCAGCTTCACCTGAAAATAGCCTTTCCTAGGACAGTTATTCTATCACTCGCCTTGAAGGAGCTTGATTGAGGAGGTACATAAATCTTAGGACAGATTCACCTGAAAATAGCCTTTCCTAGGACAGTTATTCTATCACTCGCCTTGAAGGAGCTTGATTGAGGAGGTACATCAATTTTAGAACAGATTCACTTGAAAATAGCCTTTCCTAGGACAGTTATTCTATCACTCGCCTTGAAGGAGCTTGATTGAGGAGGTACATCAATTTTAGGACAGATTCACCTGAAAATAGCCTTTCCTTGGACAGTTATTCTATCACTCGCCTTGAAGGAGCTTGATTGAGAAGGTACATAAATCTTAGGACAGATTCACCTGAAAATAGCCTTTCCTAGGACAGTTATTCTATCACTCGCCTTGAAGGAGCTTGATTGAGGAGGTACATAAATCTTAGAACAGAATCACTTGAAAATAGCCTTTCCTAGGACAGTTATTCTACCACTCGCCTTGAAGGAGCTTGATTGAGGAGTTACATCAATTTTAGGACAGATTCACCTGAAAATAGCCTTTCCTAGGACAGTTATTCTATCACTCGCCTTGAAGGAGCTTGATTGAGGAGGTACATAAATCTTAGGACAGATTCAACTGAAAATAGCCTTTCCTAGGACAGTTATTCTATCACTCGCCTAGAAGGAGCTTGATTGAGAAGGTACATAAATCTTAAGACAGCTTCACCTGAAAATAGCCTTTCCTAGGACAGTTATTCTATCACTCGCCTTGAAGGAGCTTGATTGAGGAGGTACATCAATTTTAGAACAGATTCACCTGAAAATAGCCTTTCCTAGGACAGTTATTCTATCACTCGCCTTGAAGGAGCTTGATTGAGGAGGTACATCAATTTTAGAACAGATTCACCTGAAAATTGTCTTTCCTAGGACAGTTATTCTATCATTCGCCTTGAAGGAGCTTGATTGAGGAGGTACATAAATCTTAGGACAGATTCAACTGAAAATAGCCTTTCCTAGGACAACTAATTGATAACTCATCTTGGAGGAGTTTGATTCTTTGAAAGATTCACCAGAAAATAGCCTTTCCTAGGACAGTTATTCTATCACTCGCCTTGAAGGAGCTTGATTGAGGAGGTACATCAATTTTAGGACAGATTCACCTGAAAATAGCCTTTCCTTGGACAGTTATTCTATCACTCGCCTTGAAGGAGTTTGATTGAGAAGGTACATAAATCTTAGGACAGATTCACCTGAAAATAGCCTTTCCTAGGACAGTTATTCTATCACTCGCCTTGAAGGAGCTTGATTGAGGAGGTACATAAATCTTAGGACAGATTCACCTAAAAATAGCCTTTCCTAGGACAGTTATTCTATCACTCGCCTTGAAGGAGCTTGATTGAGAAGGTACATAAATCTTAAGACAGCTTCACCTGAAAATAGCCTTTCCTAGGACAGTTATTCTATCACTCGCCTTGAAGGAGCTTGATTGAGGAGGTACATAAATCTTAGGACAGATTCACCTGAAAATAGCCTTTCCTAGGACAGTTATTCTATCACTCGCCTTGAAGGAGCTTGATTGAGGAGGTACATCAATTTTAGAACAGATTCACTTGAAAATAGCCTTTCCTAGGACAGTTATTCTATCACTCGCCTTGAAGGAGCTTGATTGAGGAGGTACATCAATTTTAGGACAGATTCACCTGAAAATAGCCTTTCCTTGGACAGTTATTCTATCACTCGCCTTGAAGGAGCTTGATTGAGAAGGTACATAAATCTTAGGACAGATTCACCTGAAAATAGCCTTTCCTAGGACAGTTATTCTATCACTCGCCTTGAAGGAGCTTGATTGAGGAGGTACATAAATCTTAGAACAGAATCACTTGAAAATAGCCTTTCCTAGGACAGTTATTCTACCACTCGCCTTGAAGGAGCTTGATTGAGGAGTTACATCAATTTTAGGACAGATTCACCTGAAAATAGCCTTTCCTAGGACAGTTATTCTATCACTCGCCTTGAAGGAGCTTGATTGAGGAGGTACATAAATCTTAGGACAGATTCAACTGAAAATAGCCTTTCCTAGGACAGTTATTCTATCACTCGCCTAGAAGGAGCTTGATTGAGAAGGTACATAAATCTTAAGACAGCTTCACCTGAAAATAGCCTTTCCTAGGACAGTTATTCTATCACTCGCCTTGAAGGAGCTTGATTGAGGAGGTACATAAATCTTAGGACAGATTCACCTGAAAATAGCCTTTCCTAGGACAGTTATTCTATCACTGGGCTTGGAAGTGCTTGATTATGAAAGCACACTAGTTTATGGACTGATTGACATCTGAAAAAAAAAACAATAGAATCTCTTTATAATTAACACCTAGTTGCAGAGGCAAAGAATCCTTTAGGGAGAGGTACCGTAAATTGCTAATAAGTAAATATGTTAATTTTGCGATGAAAACTGTCCTTTGTAGAGAGGTGTCTTCTAATAAGAATGTCCTCTCATGGACGTTCTTCTTCTTTCTTATCTCCACTCAATCATATCAGGGTATCAATCTTGTAAAGCTTGAGAATATGATTGGGTGAAGTAGAATGCGTCTGCCTTTGTCATTAAGACTGGGAGCACTACTCAGTGGCAGGCCGACTTAGCTCCAAAAGAAATGGCCGCCTCTGACATGAGGAACAGATGACATGTGCAGCCGCTCCTAACATGGAGTACAAACGCTGCTCATCCTGTATCCCTAGAGCCCTTACAGGGTACTATCAGCATGGCCAGCTGAGCCCAGGTTTTTTAGTGAGCTTGTTACTGCTCCCCCTCCTCCTTTTTCATTCGGGCTTGGGACCGGCAAAGGCGGAGTTATGGAGGTTATACTGCATGTAGGTAACTCAAGAGCGGACTTTGTTATCGCCCAGCTTGGCTGTGCAGATCTACGGCCACCTAGAGAAGCTGGCGAGTGAAACCAACGACACCGAGCTCATCACACTGGGTAAGACCCACGAAGGACGTCAGCTTAAGGCAATCAGAGTAAGTACATCTTTGTTACACGAATTTCTTAACCTATCACACGTCATCTTCTGTAAAATAACAATCATTATGAATCATAAAACTCATAACATTGTTTAAAAATCGTTAAAGATAATTCAACTTCGATCATAAAAAGTATCAGAATAATATTTGGTTACTTTTCTTTTTTATAAAGGAGTTAGACGAATTCTTCCTGAGTGAATGCTTTCTCAACAAATATAGTTTCAGAATGACGTTTAACAAGTTTACCATGAATGTTTCTTTTGAACGAAAAATAGTAATTTATTTTAAGGAGAAATAATGACTATTCCTATATTTAGGGATGAAGTATGGAATAATGAATTGTGAAGAGTAATGATGAAGGGAAAAATAAATGTGTCCGGGGATGGGAATTCTCGTTCAAAAGAAACATTTGCGGCAAAACTTGTCAAGCGTCATTTTACAATCATAAGCCGCATTATATTGTATTATAAATTAACTTACAAACGGAAAAATATGTCCAGGGTAGCCTAGTGGACATGGCATCTGCCTGGTAAGCGGAACACTGAGGGTTCCCATCCCTGAACACTTTTATATTTCCGTTCATCATTACTCTTCATAATTCATCATTTCATACTTCATTCCTAAAGATAGGAATAGTCGTTATTTCTCCTTAAAATAATTAAAATTACGATTTTTCGTTCTGTAAAAAGAAATATTTGCGGTAAAACTTGTTAAACGTCGTTCTATAATCATAGCCGCATTATATTGTATTATAAATCTAGTTTCAACACAGCTTTAGTAGTAGTAGTTGTAACAATGATAGGAATTCATTACGAAATTCTAAATATCGAATTTTATCGAAGAAGAATCGAAATTTATTTTGAGGAGAAATAACGATTATTTCTAACCTTAAGGATGAAGTATGAAAGGATGAATTGTGAAGAGTAATTATAAACGGGAAAATATCCCTGGACACTTTATTTTTCCGTTTATCATTGCCCTTCACAATTCATCCTTTCATACTTCATCCCTAATGTTAGAAATAATCGTTATTGCTCCTTAAAATAAATTTCGATTTTTTGTTCAAAAGAAACACATGCGGGATAATTTTCAAATGTCGTTCTACAATCATAAGCCGCATTATATTGTATTATATATAACTTTGTCTATATGCTTTTGAAATTAGCTTATATATGGCGGCATCTAGTGTTTGCTTTTGAGAGTTTGAGTTATTTGGTTCTGAAGTATGTATTCTTGTAGGATAAGCTACACAAGGCAATTGCAGCATTGTATATGCTTGTGAAATATTCCAGATTTCTTTTGCAGGCCCCATGTTGGGGCGCCAATTCGCACCAGGTTGTTACCTATTATATGCTTATGTATCTACAGTACAGTGGCTTGACTTGTGTTGTTGTGTGTAGATCGGCAAAGGGAAGGATGTAGTGCTCATGGAGTGCGGTGGTGCACGCTAGGGAATGGATCAGTCCAGCCATATGTGTCTACATGGCAGAACAGGTAGGTCGACAAAATCCCTATATGTAGACTTGCTAGCAGAGTTACTGCAATGTCTACAAATCCATGTCCATCCACGAAAAAGAAAACATCATTAATTAATACACTCATAAGAAAAAACCTTTAGGAAGTTGTACCTTTTAGCATGTGTATCGGTATTCAGACAATATCTCTTCTTCTTTATTATCTCCACTCAAACATATTAGGGTATCAAGTTGTGACCCTTGATAGTGTCTGTTTGACAACCATCATGACTGGGTGAAGTAGAATGCATCTGCCTTTGTCATTAAGACTGGGAGCACTACTCCATGACAGGCCGACTTAGCTCCAAAAGAAATGGCCGCCTCTAACATGAGGAACAGTCGACATGTGCAGCTGCTCCTAACATGGAGTATAGACACTGCTCATCCTGTATCCCTGGATTAGGAGCCTTTACAGGGTACTATCAGCCAGGCCAGCTGAACCCAGGTTTCTTAGCGAGTTTGTTACTACTCCTCCTCCTCCTTTTTCATCCAGGCTTGGGACCGGTAAAGGCGGAGTAATAACTATGATATTTGATACACAGTGACCTTTATTGAAAATACAAGAGATAATCAAGTGTGAAAAAAATTGCTTCTGTATCCTTAAAAAAAATAAACCACGGCCAACAGACTTTTCACTTCCTTAAATTTTGTCCCAGAGTGTATTTCAACATAAACTGGCAATACATATCTTTATTAAAAGTTGAAAACGAGCCAATTTTCGATCTAAAAAAAAAAACAGATTTTCGACTGACTTTCTTATCATTAGAAAAAAAGAAAATTTTTACGTGAAGAAAACCAACCTTAAAGCCATTTTTTCGCTCGAAAACTCGCTCGTTTTTAGCTTAAATACGCATTGACTGTAATATCTGGAATATATTTACAAGAAATTATAGTAGAGTTAAACCTGTCTAATGCGTCCCCTCTTGTGACTCATCAAAATCGGGGCGCTATAGAGAGGAAGGCACTATTTAGAGGGGGTGCTATAGACAGGTAACTTTTAATGTAAATCTCGAATCGTACTACGTATTTAAAAGCGGGCGCTATAGAGAGGAAGACGCTATTTAGAGGGGGGGGGGGCGCTATAGACAGGTATATAACAAACATTAGACAGGCACTCAAACATCACCCATATTAGACTTTCCTTCCATTACATTCTTAATTTTATTCAATAAATTTCCTACGGGTTGTTGGCGACTATGATCCGCTCCAGGAACCGTGTTACATACAAGAGATAGAAAGATCTAGTACAAGACAACTAATACCATCTTTCTGTAATCTGTCAGTCTTGTTGGAACATTTCAAATACACCTATCCCCCGATTTACACGGTAGATACGTTCCTGAGAAAAACGTGTAAATTGGGGGATAGGTGTACACAGAAATAAAAATAAAATGCATTGACAGGTTAAGATATGTAGTCAGCACATAAGCTCGGGATTCCTCGTGAGATGTGTACACAGCGCATGTGTTCAATCACAGTATCATTTAGCATAGTGCGATAAAAACAAAAACTTATTTGGAAAACCGTGTAAAAGCGAAAACGTGTAAAACAAGTACCGTGTTCGCTTTTACACGGTTTTCCAAATAAGTTTTTTTTTGTTTGTTTTTATCGCACTATACTAAATGCTACTGTGATTGAACACATGCGCTGTGTACACATCTCACGAGGAATCCCGAGCTTATGTGCTGACTACATATTTTAACCTGTCAATGCATTTTATTTTTATTTCTGTGTACACCTATCCCCCAATTTACACGTTTTCTCAGGAACGTATCTACCGTGTAAATCGGGGAATAGGTGTACTTCACACCCCATCAGCATATAGACAGGTTTAACTGTATTATTTTAAAATAAAACTTGACATCTGGCTGTGACAGCTCATTAAGAATCCAATTAACGACAACTCGGACATCCTGAAGAAATACAACGTGGTCATCATCCCCGTGTACAACCCGGACGGCTATGAGTATAGTCAACGAGGGGTAAGTCCATACATATCTCATGTTTTGAAAATGGAGCATAAAAACTGTTGGGAGCTAAGATTTTCCTATTCTAACATCGAGCAGAGTAATCACCAACACCTCAAAGAAATTAATACTTTTAATTTCCTTTCATAACTAACTAATTTACATCATTACAAAACCAAATGTATACATGCAAAGTAACTCGGTCATCTGGTCAAAAATATAAATATATTAATCTATGAAAAACAACTTATGTTGTTGTTGTTGTGCCCAATGAAGAGACTCAGATGTCTCCATACATCTCTATCACAGCAGTCGCAATGTCCTCTATCTTGGGTGTGTATACTGTATTGTTGTTGTCGGGTCCAATGAAGAGCCTCAGATGTCTCCATGCATCTCTATCACAGCAGCAGCAATGCCCACTATCTTGGGTGTGTATACTGTATTGTTGTTGTTGTCGTGTCCAATGAAGAGACTCAGATGTCTCCATGCATTTCTATCACAGCAGCAGCAAGGTCCACTCTCTTGGGTGTGTAAAGCTGCTGCTCTGGGTCCATGTCAATTTTCTGTTGTTGTCGTGTCCAATGAAGAGCCTCAGATGTCTCCATACATCTCTATCACAGCAGCAGCAATGTCAATTTTATGCAAGGCTGCGGCCAATGCTGGACATGAGAATATGTGAGTAGGTGTTAGTTCCACACCAGGACAGTTGTTGCATGTCCTATAGGTTCTTGTGCCATCTGGATGTATTGTCATTCCTTTATAGTGTTAAAACAACTTATAAAAAAGCTAACATAAACCAACAACAACAAACCGTTCATTAAGGACCTATGTCCTACATAGGATTCTCCCTTGTGATAACCGCCAATGAAAAAATTTAAACATGACAATTAAAATAGTTTTATTGACATCTTGTCAAAACATGCAAAAGTACACAGTCTGTAATATTTAAAAAAGATATTTATATATAGTATATTTTAAACTGTATTAAAATATATGCATCTTTTTTTTAATATAATTTTAATTATGGATTGCTCAATCTTCAAAATACGATGTTTGTACCTTTACAAAGTTGGCGTACAGTTAACTGATATATTGGAAATTAAATACACCTATCCCCCGATTTACACGGTAGATACGTTCCTGAAAAAAGCGTGTAAATCGGGGGATAGGTGTACACAGACATTGACAGGTTAAAATATGTAGTCAGCACATAAGCTCGGGATTCCTCGTGAGATGTGTACACAGCGCATGTGTTCAATCACAGTAGCATTTAGTATAGTGCGATAAAAACAAAAACAAATATTTGGAAAACCGTGTAAAAGCGAAAACGTGTAAAACAAGTACCGTGTAAATCGGGGGATAGGTGTACCTCTTTTTACAATCTAATATATACCCTTTCATCATTTAAATCTCACGTATTTTCGGATGATTTGGCTATAAATAATCTGCTGTGTTCTCCAGCCTGCTGAGAGAACCTGGAGGAAGAATAGAAGACCCCAGTCCAAATCCTGTATAGGTGTTGATCTCAACCGTAACACAGACGTCAAACATGAAGGTGAGTGCCACATGATTGCATTTATTTAAAAGCCTGCGTTATATATTACCGATAACACCAATATATTAATATATACAGTACGAGCGTCATGCGTTCTTAATTCTTCAGTTTTCATCTCTGTCACCGTTTGCTTTTTTTTTTTTTTTGGAATGGCGCTCTCCTATTGGTTGGCTACGATCACGCCACCTTTGCCCCCCCCCCCCCCCCCCCACTCGCTTTTTCGTTTTTGTAACTATTGTGTTGGAGCGGGTCGCTCCTTAAATAAATGCATATATTAGTTAATAACTAAATGGAATCCTCTCTTTCTTTTTCCCAGTAAGAGACGCCTACGGAAGCCAACAGTACATAGACAGATAAAGCACATAGGCTATAGTTATTAACTAATATATGCATTTATTTAAGGCGCCAATTTATAATTGTAACAAATAGTATTTGAATAAAAACATTCAATCGGGTAAAACACGGGAGTTGCCCGGGTCATTCGGCTAGTATATTATAGTAGGGAGGAAGGGGGGAGAGATAAATTAG